TCCCATGGCTACTTAATGCTAAAAAATGTTTTTGTCCCATGGTTTTCTTCGATGAAAAAATTCATTGTCCCATGCCTGTTTGTACCGGTCCCATTAATGTGATAAATTTTGTCTGGTCCCTAAGATAGAAATAGTAACTAAACCATGTTGAAAGAGACTAAAACTGTAAATTTCCTCCCAAATCATGTTTTCCAAGCCATGTCGTCTCAACCACTCAACTATGACGTCACAGCCTATAAAAGACAGAGGCAAAGAGACACCAAAGAAAACATAATAATTAAACAGAAAGTTCAATGTTTTGTAGTTGGATATGAAATTTATTTCACTCAAGAGACAGGATTTTTTGTTATTTTCACTCGTGCTTCGCACCCCCTCTAGATCCGCGCATGAATATGTATTGAAACACAAATAAATCTTTGATTGACGACGTTTGCAAACAAAAGACACAAACAATGCAGTTTTGAAATAAAATCAAAATCTGTTAATGTCAGCACACAGAATAACCGTGTACCCGGTCGGTATATTGTGACGTGGCATATTTATGTCCCCAAACAAATAATCAGAAGTGACCCAGATAAAACTGTGTCAGAATGTAGGGACTGGGTCTTATTTAGTACGTCTGCATGGAAGACAAATAGCTTAAATTGGATGTAAATGTGGATACAACATTTAGGCAAGTATGCATGCATTTACCACCTGCAAGCCTGTAAATCTAAGACTATAAGGATTTCAAAACGAGAGGGGAAAAGTATATCCTTTCTAAAGTAATGTTTCTACTATACTGCATGTATTCACATTGGTATACAACCTTGACATTTGCAATGGCTTTACATACTAGTCAATGGAAAAAAATTAAATTTGTTTTTAAATAGAGGGATATTCCATGATTTTGTAGCTTTGAACTAGTGAAATATAAAAATAAATCCTGGCCCACTCGTGATATAAATTTCATATCCAATTTAACCATAAAGTTTTGAATATCCTTTATATATATTCCATATCCATTTATTCTACTTTCAAACAGATAATAGTCTCGATTGTAGCATAAAAGCGTTGTTCTCTCTGGGGTGAGAATGGTGGGAAGGGACGGAGCAATAGCAGCTGTAGCAGGTGGCCTGGGTGGCGGTATTCTAGCCTGGAGGGCTTTTTACCCCAGCCTTGTTGACGACATCAAAACAATCTACTGCACCAGAAAACCACAAGATATCACCACACGAGACATCATGTCACGGCGACTTGTTATAGACATGTTCGAAGAGACTTCTCGTCTTCACCCAGAGAGAGTCTTCATTGTGTTTGAAGATAAAAATTACACTTATGCGATGATCAACGCTATGGCCAATAGGGTGGCAAATGTAGTGGCTCGCTGGAATCTCAGTGTAGGCGATGCAGTGGCTATGATGATATATAATTCCCCAGAATTTCTCTGGACATTTCTAGGTTAATTTTCAATTTATTCAATTCCAAGACTTTTAAAATACGTATGTATGGAAGTGTGGTGTTATATCACAGATCAACATTAATTCATGTTATAACAATATTGTAAAAAGACGCATGAGTTGACATAAAAATAAATCATTGCAATATGTAGAATTACATGTAAGTTGTTTTCGTCAAACCCTCTATTAACACTCCTTTCATCAAACATCTAATTTGCAGATAAGAAATTAAATACTTTGAAAATAACTTGCATTGTACTCGCAGGTCTTCTGAAGCTGGGGCTAGCTGGTACTTTTATCAACTATCATCTACAAGAAGAGCCATTAATTCACTCTTTAACAGCTAGCCAGACTAAGTATCTCATCGTCGGTAAAGGTAACGTCTACTGATTTATACATAATTTACAAATAACTGATATTATGCATCACGAATCATTAAATAATGTAATATAATGTAAATATAGAAAACCAAGATATAATAGACAAAATTGCTAATGTACCACTCAGTTTTCTCATATTATACTTTCATTTAAATTACTTGAATTACGAGAAACATTTGTTAAATAACACTTTTACCCTCTGAATTATGGAACCACACCCTCCAGCCCGATAGAACTTAGCAACAGTCAACATTGCTTGACGACGGGTGATATTCCAATAAAAAAGGAGTAATTGCGCGGAATCTAAGGAAGCGCGCTTTACCTTTTTTGTATTTGTTCAAAACATTCAGTGTAATATAATTAATACAACATGTAGATAAGGATAATATGAGGATAACCCTCAACTACTCTAGTATATGCATTGCGCCTTGGTTGACAATGGTTTTCTTGGGGTGAAAATTTTCAATGTTACCCTCAACTACATGCAGTATGTATATATTGTTTATTGAGCCTTTACCTAATTGACTCTTATATATCTTATATGCCTTCTTACCCAAATCAGTCGAATTGGCAAATGTTTTTGTGTCATGACAAAATCCTCGAATGACTTCCTTGCCTGAAAACCAATATCCCAAAGTCCACTAAGCACCGTTTTTGCCCTGATATGAAGTTGGTGGCTACCGATGGTGATCAGTGATCATTTGCAACGGAAGCGGTTTCACAGTCAAAATCAATAGTATAGAGCGATTTGTTCATCATTTCACCTCTTAGTCACCCAGTCCTTTGGTGTCCTTATCTCGTCCGTCACACTCCTGGTTCCCCAAGTTTTGTGAAACAACCTTGCAATTCCCAAGTGGTGATGACGAATGAATGCTGTCGCAATTCCACTGCTTATTAATCTATTCGCAACAATATTTCACTAGAAGAAAGAAATATCTTTAAAATGTATATATTTTTCTTTTCTTTTCTTTTCTTTTTTTTTTTTTTTTAAAATCGTTTCAAAGGAACATTCTCCAGACACCATAATGACTAATTTAGCACACCCCTCTCGGATCAAACACCGCATGTGTTATTTTTTTTTTCTAAGTTTTTTTTATTAGTATACGTGTTAGTTTTAAGAACACAAATACAGAGAAGAAAATGAAAATCTATTCTTCCAAAAACCGCGAGCACGACTTTCATGTTTTCTGTGAAATGGTTACGCTTCAGTTAATGTGTATTTATTTATAAGATTAGACATTTGAAAGAGTTACTTTTTAGGTAAGTAACATTTTTATATATCAAATATTTCATAATCAACTTCTGGAAAGTTTAAATATAAATTTTCTTTAGTGGCGCGTTGGCAATTTTGTCTAGTGTATACCTTTTTACATAATGTAAAAGACAAATTTTCGAAATCCACCTCACAGGTTCTGAACTTCTAGACACAATAAAGAGTGTTTGTGACAAGCTTCCTGGAGACTTTCAAATCTTTGTATCAGGAACCTCAGCTGTATTGCTCCCCGATAGATTTACATCGTTTGATTTACAAGTGATGCAGTCACTTCCGGTAGCTGTCTGCCAATCAGCACGAGAGAAGGTGACGTTGCTAAGCCCAGTTTGCTACATTTATACTTCCGGCACGACGGGTCAGTATTTTAGATCGTTCGCTATATTCCACAGAAAAATGGTATCTTAAAAGTCGAAATACACTGGATAAGAATATATATGTAGCTGTCATTCTTGCATAATTTTACGTTTGAATCATTTGGATAAGCTGTACCTAGATTGGATAGGAACTGTGTAGTGGAAAGAGATAGAATTTCTCATCAGTATTTTTGGATGATAGACAAGCAAATTCAAAGAATTGTAGTTCCCCGCTTTCGGTGTCTTAATGATTGGGATGCAGTTATTTAGGGCTGGGACGATATATCGAGATATCGATAATATCGATTCAATGTGAGGATGATACGCATATCGATACGTATGAAGAAATATCGACATATTTCCCAAAAAATTCTGACTAATGTTTTTCTTTGTTAACTTAACATTTTGGGTTTAATATGTAAAATAAATATGCTTAATATAAATATGAATATGAAATACATAATTAAGACCAAAATAATTAAGTTTTACAACAGATATACAACTTCTTTGAATAAATTATTCTTATTTGTGAAGAAATATCTTGTTCATTTCAATATAAAAAAAAGAATTTATAACCAATTAAACATATCGTGATACATATCGTATCGTGGCTCAAATATCGGGATACGTATCGATATAGAAAAAGTTGTATCGTCCCAGCCCTACAGTTATTTGTGGTATATTGTAACTGTTTTGTATGTGTGTCTTGTCAGTGCATCATAGAAAAAGATACAATTTATTGAATTAATGAAAGGTATGGCAAAGATTAAAGCTTCTCAAACCTGCACCAAACTTCAAGATTAAGGTCATGAGGTCCAATTAATTATAATACGATCCAAAAGGTCTTGTCATAAGTAATGCACATGTGGAAAAAAAGAAAGGCCTGTCTATACTGGAGAAAAAGTTATGAACAAAGTTAAATTTTTTGATAAGTAGGCCAAACCTCTTGGTCAATGTTATGAAGTCAAAAACGATATACCTTTCTGAAAGGTGTTGTCATATGTAATGAAAATGTAAAAATTTAAAAGCCCTACCCTCTCTCATTCAAAAGTTATTACCAGTGACAATTCTGACAAACAAATTAAAAAATGTGGTTCCCTGCTTTCAGTATCTTAGTTGTTTTGATGCAGTTATTTATGGCATATTGTAATTGTCTTGTTTGTGAGTCCTTCAACTTCTAGGTCAAGGTCATGAAGTCAAAATGATATACCTTTCTGAAAGATGTTGTCAGAGAAATATACATGTAAAATATGAAAGCCCTATCTTCTCTCATTCAGAAATTATTACCAATGTAAAAAAAAAGAATTAAAAGACTAGGTTAAACTTTAAAGTCATGGTAACGAGGTTAAAAACCAGAGTACATTCGGAAAGTTCAGACAGTTAATGCACATGTCAAATGTAAATGGCCTATCTTCTTTCGATCAAAATTATCATCAACGTTAAAATTTTGAAAATTAGTTCAAACTATAAAGTATAATAGTACATTTTGAAATGCTTGTCACAGGTGATGCACATGTCAAATACGAATGCCCTACCTTCGATTCGCTCCTTCAAAAGTTAGCACGACTGATAAAATATTTGAAAATTAGGTCAAACTTGAAGGTCAAAATCACAGGATCAAATATCATAGCAGAAATCAGAAACTTTTTGACACAGGTAATGCACTTTTCAAGTATGAATACCCTATCATTTTCCATTCAAAGGTTTTCACAAATGTTAATTTTTTTAACATGAGGTCAGACATCAAGGTCACAGGATAAAAAAAATACAGCATGATTGGAAAGGTCTTGTCACAGGAAAGGCACATGTCAAACATGATTCAAAAATTACAACCAATATTAATTTTTTTTAAGTTTGCCAAACTTTAAAGTCAAGGGGCAAAAATCATACTATACTAATATTTGGAAAGGTCCTATTAAAGGTAATAAACATGTGAAATATGAAAGTTCTATCTCTTCTCTTTTAAAAGTTAAAAGTAATGTTAAAATTTTTGAAAAGTAGGTCAAACTTCAAAGTCAAGGGGTTAAAAATCATACTATATTTGGAAAGGTCTCATCACAGTGTCACAGGTTATGTACATGTGAAATATGAAAGCCCTATCTTTTCTCATTCAAAAGTTGTGACCAGGGTTAAATTTTGTTAAAAGTATTGAAAAGTAGTTCAAACTTCAAGGTTACAAAGTCAAAATGTATACTATATTTGGAAAGGTATTGTCAAAGGTAATGTACATTTGAAAAATGGAAGCTCTTTCATTTCTCATTCAAAAGTCATGACCAAGATTAAAGTTTGTTAAAGTTTTTGAAAAGTAGGTCAAACTTGAATGTCAAGGTCACCATGTCAAAAATTATTCTATATTTGTTATAACCAAGGTTAAAGTTTTTGTGACAGATAGACTGACAGATGAATGAGATTTAATGTCCCCTCACTTTCGCGAAAGCGGGGCACAATAATTATACAACGAAATTTGTTATAACCAAAACTTGAATTGATCTTGAAATGTTTAAAATTTACCAATAATTGAATAATTGTCAATTTTGCCCCTAAGGGTTACCAAAGCCAGCAATAATTAACCAAGCCAAAGCGATTAGACAAACGCATGGTTACCGCGCCATCGACTTCACTCAGCAGGATGTGACGTACGTTGTGACACCATTATATCACAGTGCTGCCACCTGTGTTGGTGTCTTTAATACAATAGGTGAAGGTAAGGCATGCAATGAAATTTCTTACCACACAACATGGTGTTTGAAGTGTAAAGTAAATGTACGTCTTCCGCCTTGAAATAATTGAAAGACTATGTCTGCAATGTTTATGTTTGTTTTGAATATATATTATGAGGAGATATAGATTAAGTGTGACGTCCGATAAAATTTATTTTAAAAATAGCATCTTCATAAATGCATCCATGCCTTAAAGAAATTACGAGTCTTTCATTTCGAAAAAAAAAATAGAAAATTCATTCTTGGTAACTTGTAAGGGCTTGTTTGCAATATGTGCAGATGTCGAGTTCGCACGCTTGAAGTTAGGCATCAGCTCAGTTAATGATGGTGACCAACACCTAAATGATACTAGTATTGTTGTGTAAGAACAAGTGTGCTAGTGAATTTCGTTTTTCCTTATTATCCCCTCGCAAAGAAATTGAAGGAGACATAGTAAAGCGCATGTGAGTGTGTGAATGGATGGATGAGTGCGTGTGTAACGGAAGTGATAATTTATATCGGGATCAGCCAATATGCTGCCTTGATGAATTGAATATTTGTTGTTATTCAACTTGTTTTTCGTAATTTTTGTGTTGCAATCATAGAAATATAAATGAAACAAACTAAACATGTGATTTAGTATTTTGTATGAGGGTGTGTGTGAATTGAGTTGTGTGTAATCGGGTTCGGAATTTCTTTCCTCGACTCGTAAGTTAATGGAAGTATCAGGGTTATCTTAAAAGTTTTACAAGTTACGTGTCATGTTTTGATAAATATAGAGGAGTTCATAAATACATGTAAACATGTACGTTTCGATGATAGCAACCATCGCATAAGCATTTTACGTTTGGAAGATTATTCTCAGTACTTAGGCCGATTCCGGCTTTAGGCCCTAATTAATTGATGTTTAATAATGTTCTGTTCTGGTGTAGATTGAGTCAGGAATGAATTTCAGTTAAAAAATATGATAAGCATTTTGTTTTATAATTCTTTTTACAAACAACCATTTTCTTTTGTTTTGATGCGAGTAGTGAGTGTGTACGTAACAGGCCCCTTAGAAATGTGCTTTTTTGCGATGAGGTCCTCCGCTTTGCGGTGCTTTTGTTTCATATATGTATATATTGTGTGTGAATTATATAGTACAGACACATCTAGTTTTCTCATAATTCTCTACAAAAGTGATATTTTGATAGTTCTATTTTTTATTTAATCGCATATGATAACAGGTGCAACTATAGTCCTACGTAGGAAGTTCTCAGCAAGCCATTACTGGGAGGACGTCCGTAAATATAAGGTGACCGTCATTCAATACATAGGAGAGCTGTGTCGATATCTGCTCCGTCAGCCAAAGGTAGCGATTAAGTATACATAGATCTAATGAAATTTTAATCACATAACAATCTCTGTTACTGATAAGACATATATACGGTAGAAAACAACAAATAAAGATTGGTTTTTAAATGTCACTTTTTCCGGGAAATTGTTCTCTCCTATAGGTCAATTCTTTTGTAATAGTGAATACATCCTTTTCATTTAGATACTGGTCCCCCCTTCCCACACTTTTTGCTGTCCAGGATTTGGACAGTTTTAATTAAGTTTTTAGGGTTTTTTTGGTTTGCCGAATTATTTTGGAAGTTTGCCCTCCTTTTTTTTTTTTTTTTTTTTGCTTGTCGCATTCTTTTGGGAAGTTGCCCCCCCCCCTTTTTTTGAAACCATTGCGACGGGCCTGCTAACGTTAGTTTTATGAAAGATGCAGAACTTCTACCAGTGTTGGACAGATTTTTGTTGAAAATCAAGTGTGGTGCAAATAACAAAATTAAAAAGAAAAATAATTCTGATACCCTGAACTAGTGTAGTCTGCTATTTCAACACAGCGTTTCAAAATGGAACGTTTTATGTTCAATCTTTCAGAATCCACAGGACGGTGTTCATTGTGTAAGGGCGGCGTTTGGTAACGGACTTCGCAGTGACATTTGGAGGGAATTTAAGACACGCTTTAAGATTCCTCGAATCTACGAATTTTTTGGCGCCACAGAGGGAACGGCTATTTTACTGAATTGTTGTAATAAAGTCGGTGCGGTAGGAAGATGGTCTCCTCTCATAGTCAGTATAACACATTTTTTCTGTGTGATTTTACGAGAGAAAAAAAACTCTTGGATATCTCATGTAACACAGTGTGGTTACATAAAGAGAAAGCTTATGTAAAGAAAAGGGACGAGCAATATAGTCTTCACTGTCTTGTGCTTACAGAGATGGATGAATGGCAAAGGAAAAGGTTTCTGCATTGTAAAGTTCGATTCGGTAACTAATAAGCCAATCCGTGGGAGGGAAGGAAAGTGTGTTCTGATAAACCCAGGTAAAATCCTTGTACCGTGTTTTTCTGGAAAAAAAAAGAAAGAAAAACTTGGAAGACACGTTCAAATTAGTCAGTTGAATAGAAAATGATTTTTTTTTAAAATAATGTGCTTTGGTACATATTTTATCATTATACACATATCCACTTCGGGATCATATTAAATCCCATAATCTCAGTAAATATAATGCAACAGTGAAAATAATTTCCTAGAAATACAGTAAGGAGACGGGATATGACTTTTTTTTCATTGTTATAATTCTTGAAAACTGGTGTAAAACTTCTAGGTGTTGAATTGATTTTACGGTTTTTTCTTCCTTAATATACTAGAGATTTTAGTGAATTTTCTTTACAGGTGAAACAGGTCTGCTTCTAGCTGTAATGCCACCCAATACTGATAAAATTTATCTGGGAACAAAAGAAATGGATGATAAAAAAATTGTACGAGATGTCCTGGAAAATGGCGACACTTTCTTCAACTTTGGAGACTCTGTGTACTTAGACTTTGATTATTATGTGTATTTCCGGGATAGAATTGGTGATACCTTTAGGTGAGGAGTTCGGCTTAAAGTTCCTTAGGACTAATGACCCTCTGCTCTAAATTTCACAATTTTTTTAAACTTGCCAACATAGATCAGTATTAAGAGCTATAGCATTATATTCAAATGAAAAATAATATTAGGTATGAAGCGCTCCTTATTTTTTCGGAGATGATTTTTATGTCAGACTATGATGTGAAGAACACAGAGAATAGGAAGAGTAAATATATTATCAGAACATAAAGTTAAAAATATGAGGTGTACGTATATCAAAATAATATTTAGTGTCACGCCTAGTGAAATCAAATTAGAAAACATAATAAAGCGCTGCTTCCTAAGAATATCATAATGTTATTTGTGCTTGAAAGAAAAGAATACCATTAGCACGAGTTATCTTTCTTATAAATCCTTTTTTCAATGGAAAAAACTATAATACTAATAAAAATTCTAAAAATGGTACCTGATACATTAAAACATCTTTAAAAATAGTTCATTTAAAGATAGAACTTATTCAATTTGTAAGGGCTTTAAAACTGGATTTAAGTGTTAAATGTCATATATAATAAAACAATTTGAAAAGTACAAGCAAAAGGAAAAAGAAGTTAAAATGTTTCCATCATACGTCAGATTTGATCAAATTAACTACCGGTACTTAAAGGTCTCAATACGTTCCATTTCCATTAGTGAACTCTTCAAAATTAGAGGCGCGTTTAGTCATCTGACTGGGACAGCATGGCGTTGCGGATAATACAGAACATGCCAATCTCAATCCAATTTTAAATGTTAAATGTATTTTTCATTCCAATTAAAGAAAAGAAGAACTAAAAAACATATGTAGGAGAGCGAGAACCCTAAATTTATCATCCATTAATAAAAAATACGACATTTCCGAGACATGTGTATTTTATTTAGATGTACCATTCGATAAATAGATACATACGATCAACAATAGATATAAATTGATATCGTTGTCATTCCTACTCTTGATGTATATAAAGTTCACAATAATAAAATATTTCATTTGCATTTTCTTAGGATTTGTTCATCAACATTCAACATATTGTTTACATGTTTATGTTACGTTTGTCCCAGAAATCCCGCGAAATTTGTACATTTTCCGACTTTTTCACAAAAGAGCGCACTAAGAAGTATAATTCTTCCATAGTGGAAATACAACGTAAACTCTGGTGAAACAAACTTTGATCGAGTAATATTAGGATTTTTTACTTGGAAAGTTATCTCTCTTATCAGAGGGTCGGTCCCCCTTAATCAGCTGTTCATGCAAATTCTAACTTATAAAACATTAAAGACTGTTTAGACGTATTATTTTTCCTAAAGGTGGAAAGGTGAAAATGTATCAACAACAGAAGTGGCCCATGTTTTGACGCAACTTCAATTTATTCATGACGTCAATGTGTATGGTGTATCGATTTCCGGTATGTGTTTTCATTTCTTTTAATTAAATTACGTAATTAATACTATGTTGGTTTGTAATGTGATTTACGGTATGACCGTTGGGGCGAGCGCAGGTTGTACTCGTTACCCTCAAAATCCTTCACAACTTTTGATCCGCTTCCTCATAACATCAAGAGACCCAGTCTAGACGTTAGTTTCACTTCCATAACGGAGTCTATATAATGCAAAATTTTTAACGAAAGGCATTGTAATGTAGATACAATTATTTATGTTTGAATTCCTTAAGCTCTCTGTAAGAACTAAATCTTCACAATAGGTTTAATTCCGGTTCAGCTATGATCGCCATTATCGCATGGTATTGTGGTAGCAAAAGATTTCAGTTTGAATTTCCTCTGTTCTTACACGTTAGCATATACATAGTACATGTATATAGAACTCGCTGCACCTCTGTTAACTACCGGTAATATTCTGAATTCTAAAATAATTGTTTCCTATGGTTTAGCTAGACTTAAAACTTCCAACTGTTTGGACAAAATTTATATTTTGAAGGAAATGACGGTAAAGCTGGCATGGCAGCAGTTCAGCTAGAAGACGGTTTTAAAATGACAGATGAAACTCTTAAACGACTCTACGAACATGTATTCAAACACCTTCCGCACTATGCTCGCCCTATTTTCATCAGAGTGGTCTCAGAGTTTGTAACAACTCAGACAATGAAGCACCGGAAGTTGGAGTTGGTGGAGGAGGGATTTGATATAGATGTAATCAAGGACCCACTTTTTGTGATTAATCATAAGTCAAAGACGTATGAACCCCTCAATATTTCAAACATTGGCACCATAGTTACATCAAGACTGTAGATTTCACATACTTACATCAAGACTGTAGATTTCAATCATTGGCACCATAGTTACATCAAGACTGAAGATTTCAATCGTTATTTCCAAATGTAAAAAAGAAAACATTTAAATGTTTAATCAGTTTAGTAGTTCAGATTCATTTTCCAATCATGATGAGGTTATAAATTATTTTTTGGTGGTACAATATAATTTGCTGTATGATAAGTGATGGCAAAAAGGAAGAAATCGGTGCTAAAGCATTTTACCCTATATTCTTTTATGGCAATTTAAAGCCAATACAAGCATCAGAAGCCATGGATAAAGCTTACAGAAGACTTCAATTTGGTGCATATGTATAATTTTATCAGTAATCTAATGCAATAACAAAGTTTTAAGGATACAACTGATTTATATCTGGAACGAACGCGCGCGCGAGCGCGCGCGCACACACACACACACACACACAATAAATACTAGTATTCTGGTTAATCAGTAGAATGCCAATTATTAATTTTCAATTCAATTTCCCATAGTTATTATTCGCAACAAATGTGACATTTGATATTGATTCATATTCAAGGTATTTATGTAATTTACATTTTTTCCTTCAATATTGTCTAAGGTTATTTGAAAAATCGATGATAATGGTTACTTTTGATGTCATTAACTCGACTAAAAATGTTCGCATTTGTCATACATCGAAATTTTTATTGATATGTAAAACTGGCTGAACATAAGAAACTGGAGCTGGGTAATGCATGTTAACTTTTTTCTTAAGTCAAAATACTACTTAAATTAAGATTGGACATTTCTTAACCTTCCGCAAAAGATACGGGAAGATCAACGTGTTTATGTTGTTAAGTCCACTAAAATAGCGTTATTATATTTTGAAGAAAAAAAAATTCTCTCCACCTTGTCATTTGTCATTTAAACAGTTGTTATCTTCAATTTCCCTGAAAGTTTATCAGAACACCTAAATTGTTACATCTCTAATGTTATATTCCCAAAAAACTGTTGCAGTAACATTTATATTATTAATAAGTCAGTATTTTTACCTTTTTGAGGAAATACAATCACAGCTGAAATTCATATATTATTATTATTTCTTAATTTGTCTATATTTTTTTTAATAACAGGTACTAGCAGTTTTTTTTTTTGTTTTTTTTTAAAACTTTGTTTTGCAAGTCATACTAAGTTACCTTGAAAAATATACGATTTTATGCAATTAAGCAGTAAATTTATTTTGTACATACTAAAACATCTATTTTCCTTAACCTAGCCCTAAATATTATCACATAATTTAACTATTTTTTTCGTAAGAGAGAGAGAGAGAGAGAGAGAGAGAGAGAGAGATGAAAAATAGGTCAAAACAGTCTGTGAACTTTGTATCTTATAAACCAGTTGTGCTTCCTAAACAATTACTAGTACATGTACGCTACAGAAATGCCTGGTATTTAAATTTTAGCATTTTGATTGGTTTGTTTTCTTAAGAACTGAATGTCTCTCTGAGGATAAAATAACTCTATTTATAGATATATATATACAGGGAAAATTTGGCCCGTTTTATTTTCGCCTCTTTTGCCCTCGTTGCAAGTTGTAGAATTCAAAGAAGAAAGCGTTATCTCTTTGATACACCTGTGTATGGGAGAATTTAAAATGGATAAAAATTGCAAATGTTTAAGGGCGGAAATAAAAAGAGGCGAAAATAAACCCTCTTTACAGTACGGATGCCTCATTCACTAAAAGGCAACAAATGCAATTTTTTGTAGGGATCAATGCCTCCATGCAGCACCCTCTTTGAGGTTAAGATAGACCAAAGTGTACTAGTATTTGGTTCTTTATACATTAAACATAGAATTCAAGTTCCCGGGATCAGGAATGGTGCAACAGGGTGCAAAGAATTATACAGTGGGAAATTTTGAGAATCTTTGACGATAAGAATTGTTTCAATTTTCTCAACTAAGTACTCCAGTGAAATCGGAGGGTTTATTTCTTTAATAAATCATGTGACTGTTAATACGAATGGACTGTATTCTTCATCATATTAATGGTTTATTCTTTGTAGTGAGTGTTTAATTGATACAGCAAACAGTGAGGTCATGCAACCTCTCTCTGCCTTACGCCTTTAGATCGAGTATATTAAAAATAAATTGACTTATATTTTGGAAATTGATGTTAATATTTCAGACATTTTTTTTATATACATATCTTCATAATTATCTGGTACTAGAACAAAATTTATTCAAGTTCGTAAACATGTCACTCATATAAGTATTGTTTGTTCGCGTACTGAAAACTGCGCTTGCGCAAATTTTCACGCGGAACCCCTCGGCAAATTCACACGGACGTTTTTCGTAATGTAGACTTTATGGCATTGTTTAACCCTAGGGTGATCATGCATGACAGTGTCACTACTTTATATTTAATATAATTCTCGTCGTAACTATAGACCTTTGCCTTCATCTTGTTTTTTCATGTGGGAGAAGCCGAGAAACAAACATTTCTAAGAATTTCTCACAGGTCCTTCGACAGGGAACATGTTACTCTGTCACAATAGTTTTGCATATTTCTGTACATATTAGAGAGGAACTTTGTTTTTAATGTATATTCCTTATTTAATTGTGAGAAGTCGTAAATCTTGTCTAATCGTATGTTAATGAATTCTAGAAGTGCTTGCGCCGGTGTGATTTTCTGATTTGACATAAGAACAATTTTTTAAAAAGTAATGGGCGTGCATGGACCATTTTTCTGTGGAGTTTTATTTGCGGTGGGATATATTGGATTAAAATTTGCTGATGGCGCTGAAGGTACGTTTCTGCTTTACATGTACATTGTCCTGACGACATTAAACCATTCTTGTCCGATATTTACACTATAAATAATTCCTTTCGTCGAGTTAAAGTTCTCGCGATCCCTCTGCGTAAAGATATGCATGAAAAATTCCTTGAACATGTCATAATGCAGGCGACCACGTAGTCCTCGACAAATTCGATGTAAATATATACTTCCAATATTAAGTTATTTGTACATGAATTGCATTATACTTGAATTCCTTTTGGACTGTAGTGCTTCATTTGTACGTATTTAGAACAAAATATTTGTGTATTATGTGTTTCCCTAAATTGGTTCTCAACGCCAGTCCTTCGGTTAAACGTAAAGTGCACGCACGTGAAGAAGACCAGACACATTAAATGAATGTGCTTACCATGAGCGGATGATGTACACACTGTCAATTTCGTGAAGAGGTCACCTTTTTGAAATTCTGACATGCTAATATTATGAAAAGAGTTTGAGTTTGATCTAATGTCAAAAAATTCTTTAGATATGCCTAAAAATAATAAATCTGTTAAATGTACTGATTTTGTGTAATAAAAAAGTTTTTTTCAGTTCAAACAACTATCAACCAAAAACAGAAAAATACTATATTTCTTTCTAGCGTCGTTTGTCCAAAAAATAAAAATGTTACACTTGGAATAGCAAATAAAAACTTGACAAATAGATGAATAAAACGATAATTGTATTTAAGGATACATAAATCAAAATTGACAAGTATATTAGACGATTATCAATCACATTAATTTTAACATAACTCTAGGGTCCTAGAAACTTAATCGACATGTATCGCCCCAAGTTACGTAACACAGTCAAGACCAGTAGTTATCAAACACAGAGGGCTGTTTAAAATGCATGGAATTAATTATTCTTGTAATATTAAGATGTAAGTTTGTAACTAACTAGTTGTTTCAGAACATCACATAAATAATTAGCTACATACGCGCTCTTGCCTGTGGGGCAACATAAAACTTAACCCCGTGAAAGTTGTACATCAGGCCAACAGGACGAGAAAAATGGCTCCTCTCAGAGCCTCTGTCAGTATTTGTAATTTTTGCCATATTTTATTTTTTATAATGTCCAAAAAAGAAAATAATAATAATACTAGTATTGGTTAGCTTATATGTCCAAATAAAAGAGTTTTTACGTTAAACTTTAAAGAGAGCTGACGTATGATTCCTCAAGGAAATGAAGTTTAAGAGGTTAAGTTTTGTTTTACCAAATGCACATCTTCAGCGAGATAGGTTGGATTCTATTACTTCCCTACAGGGGTTTTCCGTATAAAATCACGAGTGTATATGAATATAAATTGTTTTTATACAAATTATTATGGAGACGTGTATCTATAGATTTTTAGATAACCCCATTACTTATGAGTTTAATTGCAAGAAAAAATGAGGAGGTGGAATACAGCCATTGCGGTGATGAAGAGTAACAACCGAGCTTTGGCCTGCACAGGCTATATATATATATATATATATATATATATATATATATATATATATATATATATATATATATATATATATATATATATATATATATATATATCTTAACCAATATATACCAGGAGAAAAGTAAAAGACCTTTAATTTACAAACGGACAGATGTCTTTAGAATTTTACTATTTGTAAACGCTCTCTCAGAGCTACAAACTTATGATGACAATAACAATCCCGTACAGTTCATTTTTAGTTTGTGTTTTCAGTACCATCGGACTAGCAGCACGGGTCCCTGTCTTTATCGTTTTAGCCAAGTAGCCATAACGCACGGTCAAGGAACGGCGCAGTTTTTTCGCACTGCCTTGGTCAACCAAGGTCATCCACACTGTGCACCATGTGACGTATCTTTTATTCTTCTTTTACGATTTATTTAGTATTTATTTAGTATACATAATTCACAGGTCGTATATAAAGAAAACACTCTATTTGCGAAATATTTGGTGCCGCCGATTTCGTTTAAGAAAATCTAAAAACAAGAAATAATGATCACATATTGATAAAAGGCTATAGATTTCACATTTACTTTGAAAAACACAACAAACATGGTGTTCTTTGACTTATCATTATTGAGGAATCCTAATCATCCAAGAAGGAACAATAAGTCAAATCCAGATACTTTTAATAATAATTTGACATATGGCAGCGAGGACATACGAAAAATCTTTTGCCGTCATTAAATCTTAGGTTTAATCTGCTACGATTGCGTCCGTGAAAAGCACTTAAGATTCATCTATTTGACAAATGTAAGCCTAAAGTAATTTTAAGTTGCACGAAATGCAAATGTGCATACCCCTTCTCCTTTACTTCT